TAACGTTCCCAAACCACCATATGATTATGAGACACGCCGTAGTGGAGGGCTCCGGAAATTTCGACCACCTGGGGTTCTTTAGCGTGCACCCAAATCTGAGCACACGGGCCTACAACATTTCCGCCTCCATCGGAAATGCAGCCGCCGCAGCCGGGATTCGAACCCGTGACCTGCGGGTCAGCAGCCGAGTACCTTAGTCACTAGACCACCGCGGCGGGGCAACTTGGCGTCGTCTGAAGCATGAGGAGACTCAACATCGCATGAACGCAGCGTTTTTAGACTCAGTGGCAAACTAAGTTGTTCTTTGTTGTTATGTGTCTAACTGCAACGCTTTTATTTATCCCACGAGCTTTTATTAACCCTTTATGGTCCTGGTTACACTACAGAGAAATATTTGTCTAGTAAATTTTGACACATTGGTACGTAAATTGCTCATTGAAAAGAATAGGAAATGGAATGACACGGAGGCATAGGTCGGCAAAACTTGGGGAACTCACTCAGGCTCACTCATAAAATATATTTGGAGGTTGGGAATCACTCGCACTTAGACTCACAAAACTTTTTATGAAGCGCACTCACTCGGACTCACACTCGTGAAAGCTTTCTTCAGCTGGACTTACTCGGTCTCAAACTCGCCGAAACATTGCACATTCGAACTCACTCAGACTCAGACTCACGGCTTAATCTGAGTCTGAGTGAGTCCGAGTAAGTCGACTCACGAGTCCATCTGCCAAGAATTAGCTTCTTCGGTCGTGGTGTGGGTGCTCTTAAATACGAATATATCACGTATTCGGTGCTCTTCTTGGTGCCGTTTGACATAGCATCTTAGAAAATAAGTTCTGAGGGCTTCCAAACCAAGAGATGACAAGAGATGCATCCTTGCAAGAGATGACATCCTACGATGTCTTTATGAAAAAGCACCCGAAAGAATTAGTATACGGGGAGTACAAAGCACCCCCATACGTTATTCACCGCTCCAATCAATAAATAGTGAAATAGCGGATAAACGATATTGTTTTGTAATACTTGCGAGTAGACCTGAATATAAATATGAAAGCTGAAGATGAGTAGTCAGGACCATAAGTGAGCAAACATGAGTGAAACTCACTCAGACTCCCCCAAGAAATATATCTTGCCATTTCGACTTATATTCAGACTCACCAAAATGTTCCCTATTCGAACTCACAATCACTAACATTTTCTTCAGCCGAACTCACTTGCACTGAAACTCACCAAAGTTTACTCACACGGGCTGACTCAGGCTCACTGCTTGATATGAGTCTGAGTGAATCGACTCATGAGTGAGTTCGCCGACCCATGTACAGAGGTGATTAAACTTGAGTCACCGTGCGCCATTTTGGCATGGGTCGAAATTTATGCAGACATGTCCGCAGTTAGGTTCACCGCTTAGGATAAAAAGGGGAGCTGCATTCTGTGTACTTCTAACGAGTCGCCGAGGGATTCCAGCACGGGTATTGTCATTCCAAGACGGTGAGTAAGGCGCTCTGCAGTCCGGCGTCGCGATCGACCACAATGGGTTTTGGTCGTGCCAACTTCTCTCGAAGGAACGGCGGCGTTGCTGCGGTCTTTTTGTTGCGTCAGGTACGAACGCAAGACCACACCGTGGTGCCACAATTGAACGAAGGTGACTCCGCCCCACTCAAAGACCCTGACGTGGGTGGAGTTCTTTTTGGTTCTTGGCTGTATTGTGTTAGAATCATAATTCTAGTACACTGTTGTCTTGGCGCATCTCGTCTACGGCCGCCTCTCATGCGGAAGCCCGGGACGGGGGGGAGGGGGGGGAAGGGGCGACTGCGTGCTCCCCTAGTGAGTCGTACGCCAGCGACGTCGCATTCGCGGAACTCAGAACATTTTATGTCACTTGTGTATGGAGTTCAGCATTATTGTGCATCATTTGTCATGTTACGGTAGTTATATGTAAGATTCTGCTGACTGGCTCCCCGCTTTGAGTAAAAGCTGACTAAATGCCGTTGGGTTCTGTGTACTGAGGTGTGTGCTGCGTTTGAGCGCAGGTTGAGCGAGACCCCTCATAATCAAGACAGAATATACACGTAATCTTTGAACATGGTGGTATGAGTTATCTAAACTCCACCGTATATTTACTCGCAAATTGCCGACACTGACAAACGTACATTGTTCACTGTAAAAACAGTGCAATGAAACTACACATTCATTCATTTTGCCTTTTCGCAACCGCGCTGCGGTTTTGAAACCGATCGCCAAACAGGGACAGCAATCTGCTCGCCTATGACTCTCCGAGCGAAGGCGTGGGCGTGAAAATACAAGGCCAGCTGAGTGTGTCAATTGCACGAGTGTTTGGAGAGCCTGAACAATGAGCGGAGCCTACTGCACTAAGGACATCACACATAATCTCACCTCCTCCGGAACCTTACCCCCCGCTTGACGGTGAGGGGGCCGGACGCGGAGTATATGTGGCTGGAGAAAATGCGGAAAGTATCACGGACCGAGCAACAGAAGAGTCATTCGACCCCTCAAGCCCAATGAAGAGACGATCATCTCTCTCTCTCTCTCCTCTGGCTTAACATTGGAAGCACACTCAATAGGCTTCAAAGCGAAAAAGGAAATGATTCTTTGCGTGTTACTAAAGTACGTTTTCACAATCTCGAAAACACCAGTTTTAGCAAGACATGACGCTTCGGAAGAGAGAATTCGCAACTTCCTACCTCCAGGTACCATGGCACCGCTGAGTAGTGGCTGCCGGAAGCTCTGCTGAGATTATCAAAGTTTTGGACCTGCTTCAAACAGCAGATGTGGCTGCTTGTTTTTCGCGTTTGTGGTCGTTTTGCAACGTTGTGAACGGCCTCGATATTACCGGAACCCTTTGAGTTTTTCAAGTTAAAGAAAGGCAGAAAGAAAAAAAATCGAACTGATTTGACTGGGAGCTTCAATGCTCATCACCTTGTACACCGTCAAAAAAGTAAGCATCCCGTTCAAATTAGCGCCCCAGAAAACCATGTATGGTTAGAAGGGTTAAATTTCGCAGGCAAATAACCAAGGCCCTTAAATGTATGCAGCCCTCTTTTTACGTACGAGTACAGCAACCTCCAGGTTTGAAGTTTTTGTGCTTAGTTTGTCTGCTCGACACGGTCACTGTTCAAACAGTACCAGAACTAAATTTGCAATGCATTCCACCTCTAGAATAGAATGAAAGGACCAGTTTCAAAACGTTCATCACATCATTACACAATTGAAGCGTTTGTGAAGTGCCTCCGTGACCTTCAAATCTGCAGCAATTTGTGTCCCGTCTTACTTGCTGATGGCGCATTTTTTGTGTCATTTCTGCCCCACACCATGCTACTTTCTGTATTCTCAAACACCGAAACAGAATGGTCACAGGAGCGTCACCTCTTAAACGTGAAAATCGCAAAATACCACTGATTTCGTTCACTGCTTGTCTAATTAACTTTCTCAATATTCTGTTGTTACTTTAATCAAAAAAGCACCCAAAAATCATATTTCGGGATATGCGGCATGCCTCAGCAGGTGCTTTTGCTTTGATATTGAAATACAACAATTTTATTCGCCTGCTTATTCTGTCATGCTTTTAGGTGAGCTGAATCAGCTTCGCGTGGAATATAACACAAGCAGAAATTTAAGATAAATCGCGCCTCTAAAAATATTTCAGGCATTACTGAGAAATTAGTACTGAGGCTCCCCTTATGATACGTTTCAAACATGACACCAGGCGTCGCGCGTGATTACCCACAGCCAGCAATGTGAAGAGCATACGTGTGTGCCTCATTTATAATTTTGCACATACATATCTACCCAGTGTGCTACCCAGCCTTTATTTACTTCAGAAAGTATGTTACCGCTTCGATACTTACTCAAAAACGTAAATTGAAGGGCCACTGAAGCGCAAAAAGTTGAACTCTTCGCCAAAAGTGTATTTTGCGGTACCGTGTCTCTCGGTGCTACTCGGAGTAGGGCGGCTAGATGATCGCCCCGAGCCACCCTACTCGGAGCGATCATCTCAATGACCGCCATGTTGGATGTACAGTCGCGCCACCTATAGATACAAAATGTTGCGAGTACGCGTGAAAAGAAAATACGAGTTGGAGTGCCACCTTGAAATTCTCGCACCTAACACCGTGACGTCATGGATTTTGAAGGCGTCTATTGGGTGCAATACGTAGCTTGAAGTACATTGTCATCTGTGGGTACCATTGATCTAGCATATGTAGTTTCAGAAAATTTCATAAAGCAAATGTCACGAAAATATAAAAAGTACATTTTAAAGCTTCTGTGATTTCAGCGCGAAATTTAAAAATGACATATTTACTTTGATTTTCTAGGCTATAATAATAAACCTACGATTGTGAAGCATGCGCCAATAGAGTTCTCAGAGTGCAATTCGTCAAACTTCGACCACGTCATTGTTTCTCTTTGTGTCCCTTTCACTCGGTTTAACACCTTCGAAGAAAAATGGGAGAGGAACGTCAGTGACGTTAACCAGTTTACCATAATCTGTGTGCTACCCTGCACACGGGAAAGGAATGGGGGAGATCAAAAGAACAGTAAAGGAAGCGATAAAGAGATAGGGAGCACACACACAGCGCCACAGTCAGGCCTTCTTGTGCGGTATACGGCATCATTATCAGTCTACAACCGTTTGTGCAAGTCTGTTACTGTTAGAAACTTTAGCGATGAGTTTGTTGGTTCCATTTTCGATGACCTCTTAGGAAGAAATTCGAGGATGCATGGTTGCTAGCGCGCCACTGACCAGTAGCAATACACTAAACGCCTGTGGATTGTTTTGTGTCTCCACGTGATCTGTATGGTGCCATCAAATGATCAACTGGGTCTAAGCCCCAAGCGTTCACTACTGAGGCCACCCCCCTCATCGCAACAAAGTGTACCATTCTGCCTCACTCAGCAAAATTATTCGCACTTTGCAAAATGTATCCTCAGAAAATTTTCACCGCCAATTTGACGTGGTTTTCATTGCGACCACCTACCTCCAGCCTCGCTTTCGACGGCGCACAATGGTCCGAGCCAGACGCCATTTACGCACTTGATCTTGCATGCGCGCTTTTTGGTCACACCCCCGAAGATGCCCATGAAGCGCACTTCGTACACGTTGCCGAACTGCTGCGCTGTGGTGCTGTCTGTCTGTAACAGCGACCCGTTGAACACGATCTCCGGTGGGGGGCAGCTTGTACGCGATGCTGCCATGGGTGCCGAGGACGACGCCGGTGGAGGTGGCGCTTTTGTGGTGGTTGCTGGCGCTGGCGTGCCAACCACTGCACGAGAAATCAAACTTCAGAAGCGGACACTTTAAACCAGGAAGCACGAAGTTACCGTGGTATTAAAGTACGAAAGAGATTACTTTCGTACGCACGCAACATGGCTGGTGGCTTTACAGCGCAAGGGCACCGTTCTGCGTTTTAGTGACACTATCAGCACACCTAGTGCTATTCGAACATTGGGATCACTAGCAGTGCCTCACTTTTTCGGCAGAAACTGACTTCTGTTACTTTTCAATTCTGATCCATTTCACAATATTGATACACTCGATTTTCCCTAGCTTATGTTCAAACACTGGCAAGTGTGCGTGACCGTTTACAGAGTGTGAATGAAACAATCAATTCGCCAATTCGCCTTAGCCGATACAGCATGAAAGTGCGAGACAACTTACGTTCACGCAGTTATCTTATCTATCTATCTATCTATCTATCTACATATATATATATATATATATATATATATATATATATATATATATATATATATATATATATATATATATTTCCGAGACGCATACTTGTATACTTGGGGGGGGGGGTGTGACGCATACTTGGGGGGGGGGGTGTGAGTGAGTCGTCACTCTTCCAAACACACACAAAGTCGCACAATCTGTCAAGCGCCTAGCCGATATTCCCATATCAGAGGAAACAGCCTAGATAGCCCTGAACCTCAAATTCATTTGACGCATTAACCTTCTGCATAGACATGCTGCTTCTTTTCTAATTTCTTTCTTGCTACGACTGGCCTCAGATTTCTGTTCTGCTACAATAAATTCCACGGAAGTGCAGAAGTTAAATCGTTCCAGAAAGTTTGATTCTGAAAATTGAGATGCGTTATTGCTATAATTGAGCAATTTTGGACTCTAGAAGCACGGGTGACATTTTTTATTTTATTTGCCACAGAACTCACGTAGTAACGCACACAATGTCTCCGCGGGTGAAGATGGTAGATGAATGAGACGCAAAATGAACTCTTATGCAACAAATACGGAAGACAGGTGAATGCACAATAGACTGGAAGAGATGGCCTCTCATCCCACTGCATAAAAGAGTGACTCGGAAAAAAGCTCCAACTATACAACTATAGCCTTAACTTATCGTTTAAAAACCACTCTAACTGTATCAAAGTGAAGGAGGGAGAGAGCTGATGACTGAGCAAGTGATTTCAAAAAAGACGCTTGGTGCATGTGATTACATTACAAATATGAAATGGTTGGCGGAAAGCATTAGGAATACGAGGTGCCTTTTTATTCCGTCGATCACTCTAAGCTGTTAGCTATCCTCATAAACGGGTCTTCCTAAACAGATATTTTATACTAAGAAAATTCTACATTCCTTACGAAACACCTTGTACGGTGAAGCCCTCTTTACACTTCATCGGCGCATTGGCGCTATTAATAGCCAAGCACTCTTGGTGGAAAAGCCTTTTCTCCTTCGTTGCTGCTAATTTTAGCAAACGTTGCTGATTGAATGATCAAGAAAAGTGTTTTTAAATTGTTGAATAGGCATTTGATACCATTCTGTATTATAAATATTTCTCAACGTCAAAAGTGGGCTCCAGGCACCTCTCTGTTAACTTCAGCTGAAACACAATAGATACTGCCTCTGCATTCGTAACTGCCGTTTGATTTTTTCTTTCATTGAAATGGCTGCTTTAAAATAGCTTCCAAATAATGAGAAGTACACATACTTGAATGGCCGTTGCATGCAACCTGGTATATACTCTTGCTATACACTCCGCTTCGTAATAGCGAATAGACATATATGGCGATCGTGGCGCTGAGTTGACTGTATACCGACAAGAGAGTAGCGATATAAGGCGCCCCAGTTGCACTGCCATGATTTTTTTTCTGTTTACAGGGGAGCTGTTAAGCCTTTTATCATGCCTTGTGGAGGCACCCTGGCAGAAAAGTCGTCATAAAACGGCACGCGCTTTTTTTTTTGTCTCCTTCTTCCTGTTCTTCTTCGCTCTCAGAAAACTTGTGCCTGGTTGTCCGGCGTGGCACGCAGATCCTCTGATGGGCAGGAGAACGAGTGCAGAAAGAGAGAGACGTAAAGAAAGATATAGAGAGGAAAGAGTGACACAAAAGGTAAAAAAAACGAAAAAAAATGAAAAGAAATGCACACAAAAAAGGACAGAAAAAAAGGAGGCAAACATAAAAAAACAAAAATATAAAGAAAAGAAGGCTGCTCTCCACTTTCATTTTCCTTAGCACCACTGGTGGGAAACAGCACCTCCTTCTATGTCTTTTTTTTTTTTCTTTTATTGACTTTGACAAAGCCACGACCTACTGTGCCCCTGACCTGCCCAGCGAGCGGAGCGCCAGCACGCCCATTCCAGCACACCTGCCTGCCGCTATGAACCCTGTGGCGCTGCAACTTACCCCATCCACACCGCCTGGTGGGACCCACAACATACGGTTTTGAGTGCGTGTGCGTGTGCGTGTGCGTGTGTGTGTGTGTGTGTGTGTGTGTGTGTGTGTGTGTGTGTGTGCATGTGTGTGTGCGTGCGTGTGTGTGCGCGTGCGTGTGTGCGTGCGTGTGTGTGCGCGTGCGTGTGTGTGGTGTGTGTGTGTGTGGTGTGTGGTGTGTGGTGTGTGGTGTGTGGTGTGTGGTGTGTGGTGTGCGGTGTGCGTGTGTGTGTGTGTGTGTGTGTGTGTGTGTGTGTGTGTGTGTGTGTGTGTGTGTGTGTGTGTGTGTGTGTGTGTGTGTGTGTGTGTGTGTGTGTGTGTGTGTGTGTGTGTGTGTGTGTGTGTGTGTCATTGAGTCATCCACAAAAATAACCTGAGCTACGTACGCGCACTCATGATGATAAATGTGGAGGTTTTATGACCCAAAACCATGGCATTGTTACATAGGATGTCGAAGGGTTTTAAAAATTTTTAGCATGGGGTGTTCACCTAAACCTGAGAGGTACGCGCGCTCACCGTTTTTGCTCTTCGTACGTACAGAAGGCGCACTCAGCCAGGAGAATAAATGAGCTGCTGAACGTAGGAGCATAGCGGAGCAATTGAAGAACAAAACGAGCAATAACCTCCCTTGTATCATCAAACAGGGAAACGGGAACACTTTTCTTGTATCATTAAACGTGCGTAACTGCGCCATTAAGTCACTGTGTTGAAAATTCGCACGACCCTGAGTTGGAGGAAATACCACAAATAAATATAGACCTCTGGGTATGATTTGGGGGCTTTTAGGAACTAGTTACAAAACTGTTAAACACTCAGAATGTAATCAGTTGTCACGAAATTTCAGTAATATAATTTTTGATTGCGAAGACCCATAATATTGTACGCTCCCTTTAGGTGATTATTCTAAAGGAAGGTATCTGGCAATGTATCTCCAATTCTGTTTGTGAAAAATGAAAAGCTAGCTGTCTTTAAGAATGAAGGCCCAATTCTCCCTCAGAAATGCTACGCAGGTCGAGTATTCGGATACACAAAGATGCTAATGTGTCGGCCTTTTTGACTGACATAAAATATCGTTTTTATTCTTTTGCAAAACAGGATATGCTGTGAGACCAATAGGCGTTGCATAAGGGATTGCAAGTGCTGTTTTGTTTCAAAGCAGTTGCAGGATGTCTTTTAGTAATTTTTCATGTACCTGCGATCTACATTTGCCATTTCGGACAGCCCCGCCACGGTGGTGTAGTGGCTAAGGTACTCGGCTGCTGACCCGCAGGTCGCGGGATCGAATCCCGGCTGCGGCGGCTGCATTTCCGATGGAAGCGGAAATGTTGTAGGCCCGTAAGCTCAGATTTGGGCGCACGGTAAAGAACCCGAGGCGGTCGAAATTTGCGGAGCCCTTCACTATGGCGTCTCTCATAATCATATGGTGGTTTTGAGACGTTAAAACCCACTTATCAATCAATGCCATTTGGGACAAAGGTATTTATCTAGAAAATACTGTATTTGTATTGGGTTGTTTTCTATGCGCACTGAATGAAGCCGTGGCGTCTGTCGAATGTCAGTCCTTGCACCTTCTTGCCCAGACAGTAACTGCAGGCCAGTTTAGTGTACGCCAACGATGACAAGCGTACCGATGTGTACACATATACCTGGTAGCATGAGTCGAATTAATATTTCGTGGTCAGCACTTTTTACAACCTGTCTCTATCATCGTGTTTTCTAGTTTTGCACGATGATACATATGTTTGTATCTGATTTGTGGTTCTGTTTCAGAAATAATGCAATAAAACTACTACTAAAATGCAAAAGAACATTCCCAAAGTCACTATAAATAAAATAATTCAAGATACGGGCTACATTTAAACACGATGCGTGATGAAGCTCTTCTTTAACCAGCGACAACCCATGCATTGCCATGCATCCACTGAGATAATGCCATGCATCCACAGCTGAGATAACTGGAGCGCCCCCTAGCGAGAGCCGGTGTAGGCAGCTCCATTGAACGCCGCCAGCTAGACAGATCAAGAGTACCCTAGATTGTGAACATAACTAACATGAGACTGAACGGAAAGTGCCGGACACGTCTACAACTCACATACCCATGCGTTAATCGTTAGGACGACGTACTAAATGCGCTTCCCCGAAAGAAAGGCGGCGTTCCTTGAACGTGGTGCATGCAACCCTTGGTGCAGCCCATTTTTCTTTACCACCGCCAACATCAAAAACAATGCTCAGCGCCATCATTTTCTTTCAGTTTTCCGTTCTACACGGCTGATGCGCATATAAAACGAAATGCCCGCTCTTCATTCCGCGGCGCGAACACGATTTACCTCATGTCGCAGTGGCTGTATCATATTGCCGTCATGGTTTTTACTGCCGAATCAGGGACGGAGAAAACGTGCAGCAGCTGGCATGACCTGCAGAGGAAGGTGGCGCTGTATACTTCCCAGGGAAAGCGCAGGCCACGGCGCAAGCCGCTTTATAACCTGAACACTTTTCTCGGGCATTTGGATAAGAGGCTTCCAAGCGAACAACACGCGCCGAGGTGTTTCCTATGTGGCGGCTTTGGGGCACGTAGTGCCGTTCACA